AGAGCACTATCATTTATTCAGAAAAAACAACCAATGTTTATTTAATTTGGTTCAAGCATTGGACATGCTTCTTCTAGGGAAGTTCATGTCCCCAACTATTAAGAAGCAAAATTACTACAGGGTAAAGGCTAAATAATAGAATGAAGGTTGCACTGTGGAAGGTTTGCAAATGCTAAGGATGAAATATTTAGCAGATTAGACTTCTAACATGTGACCATAGGGAACGTTAAATACATGATAACGTTAAAATGTTGTAACACCGAACAGAGCACTTCAATTATTGGATACATCCAAGAGAATTCCTTCAAGGAAATAAATGACAATGTTAATACGGTAGCTGCTAAACGATTACCCCTTCTCTGTGAAACTTTGCCTGTACAAATGGTGAAAAAAACACTGGTGCGTGTCCTTTCTTGTGATGGCTGATGTTACTCCGCCATCAATACCTTTCTAAAATGTCAAACTGAATTGAGAAATGTAATTGTCTCTGACAGCTTCCCTGTCCGGTGGTTAAATACGTCACCACCATCTTCAGATTCCAACCATTTTATTAAATTAAAGTTATTGCTGCTGCTCATCATTTAATGTTGCCGTGACTTCAAGCTGAATCAAACGAGTTTTAATCAACTTTTCTGTGATACACCAGGCTTAACTAATATGTTATCATCTATTCAGGATGTTGACAGATATGTACAGGTAACCCCTGAGTGAGAATATTATTCACTGGCTTAGTTTACACTGGTCCAACTGCAATTTTTGCTTTTATTCGTTCTGACTGAGACAAAATCTGCTATGAGCCAAACAAACACACCAAGGTCAATTATTTTTTCAAAAATAATAGTCACTTTAGTTTTTTTCATCATGTCAAATGATTGGCATGGTATGAAGAGTGGAAGCATATTGGACGATAATATTTGAAGGCATTATAATGCAAGCCAATCACCTTGACAGTGGTGATTCCTACAGTATAATTAACCCGGGAAAGTGTTGTCACTGATGCCATCGTTACACAAGGGGAAGCTGTTAACCCGGGGTGAGAGAGACCGGGTTGCTTTAATCAATTGACATTGAGAACTTTATTCACTTTCAGCCTCTCTCTGTCTCTTCAGACGGGAATAGAAGAAATAATTCTTATACATAGCAGTTTAAGTGAACACAGATAATGGAAAGCTTGAACAGCATGAGATTTGTTTTTCTACTGCCATCCCAGGGTCTTAATTTCCTTTTATCTTTTCCTTCCACATAAACACACTGGCGGAGGCAGGATTTTGTGTTGGCTTTTCTTCATGGAGGTGGAGTTGTATGTATGAGCCATTTCCACTAACCTTTTCTCCGGCCTGACGTATATCTGCCATGCTTTTATTGCAGGTCAGATGCTCTGTATGAACACCATTTTAGGAGGCTATATCATCTAGAAAGGCACGGTTCAGCTACAAGATAAAGTTAATATGCAGGCACTCTGAGAGGAATATTCGCCTCTCCTTAGTCATTTGATTCCATGTATGAATTTAATTGAAACACAATGGCGGACCAACAAACGTTAAGAGTATTAAGGGAGACTGTGGCAGGAATACTGTATAACAAGGGCCTTAATTCTCTCAGAAGTAATTATGCTCTCTGATTAGGGAATTGTGCCTGAATGTAATTATGCTGTGCTTTAAAGATTAATTTTGTCTGTGATGGCATGCTATGTTAGTGTCTCACCACATTATCCAATATCACAGCTCTCTATCTCAACTGTTATCTGTAAAGAGATCCCTCCGGTATGGATGACAGACCCTGTGTGTGTGGTTTTGTGTGTGTGTATGTAATGTCTCTTGGTCCAATGGAATTGTATGAGGGATTAAGGAGTACCTTGCAAGTCTTGGTCTCATATGTTTACCTTACTGTTTTCATACGAATGTATAATCCACTAGTCAGTGATGTCTGTAGGGCCTTTTCCGATTGCAGTGCATCAGGAATGTGAAAAAAACTAAAACTGTTTATACTTTCCTTCATAAAAAATATACTGACATATTTCAGAAGTATGCTTGTCCAAACATACGTTTAGTAGGAGTGTGTCATAATCTGTGTCATATGTTATGCCATTGTTGGAAAAATGTATATGATGATAAGATGAAAAAAGATATGCTCCTTATTAGTTGTCGAATAATTAACTTACAGACAGACCAACAGAACAAAAAAAACCCATATAGTGTCAAGTTGATCTTACATCTAACTTTTCTCTCACTTTTTTATCGAAGTATCTCTGCTGTCACAATTTTTTCATAGTCTTCCACTTGCTATCTTTGTCCATCTATCATTCTGTCCCTCTCTCTCTGTGCCTATTGCTTTTTCTCTGAAAATGAAGGCGAATATCTACTGCTCTATGAGGAGCTTCAAAACCAGTGGGTTCTGCACACAGGTGTGTGTGTGTGTGTGTGTGTGTGTGTGTGTGTGCCTGTGACTCGAGGAAGGGGTGTCTCTCAGGAGGCCAGTTAAAATTCATAATGCATGTGTCATTACCACATATCACTTGAAAATGCTTCTAATTAATCGGATTAACACCGGGCTTTAATGAGGGAGAGGTGAGCTGCTGGGCTTATGCTGCATCCATAACAATAACAGGAACACTGTGAATTCAAAGGTATACACATGTAAAGTCGCTTTAAATGCTTCTTTGCATTAGTTACACCGCACAGGCCTCGACAGTAAGGGTTGCCAGGTGGCAATTGGCAACCATTTTGAGAAAAACAGCAAAACGTGCATCCCAAAATAAATAAATGTTTAATATTTGTTGCATTAGTGATATTTTAACATTGTCATATCCAGACAATACTGCACGTGACATTGCTGCACGTGCGTTGGTGCGTATACCAATCATTAATAGTTAATTGACGAGATTAGTGCCTTCCATGCAGGGGTGCTGAAGTGCCTGAAATGCTGCCCAGCTGCAACATTAACCTGATGCACAAACAGGTTGAATCCATCGTTTACTGCCAGCTGCAGTGTAGGTGCAATTATTCATTTTAACATTTCTTTTAACCGTTGAACTGAAAGCATTCATCGGTCAAAATTCTTATTGTCAGTTAATGGTTAAATATTTTCATCCCTACGGAGCAAATTAAGCTTCGTGATGAAGAGTTCAATTAACCCGTCACGATCACAGATGAACGTGCAAATTGATTCAACTGACAAAGAACCAGATGCACCTGAAAATAAAAGGAAAAAGGACATTTGTGAAGTCTTAATGGGCAAAGCAACTGTTAATGGTTGTCATCCTTAAGCTAGACGAAAACCTATCCTGCAAAGCATGTACAAGATATAAATAATTGATGCAAATAATTTGCCACTGTTGAGCATCTGAGCCTGCAATATAGTTGCTGGCTAAGTAATAAATACTCCTCCGTGCAAGCAGGTGGCTGTAGGTAGCGTAATAATGACCTTGTTAATTTAAAACAGTAGAATGAAATGACGCGCGGGAGAGGTTGCGGTGACGAGACTGCAGACAATGCAAACTCTCAACTGGGCCCTGGACAACATTCTAACCCAGATGAAAAGCCTAGTAAGGATCAACAAATTGAGAGACTTGTCATTACATTTTCTTTTTAATGTAAAGAATGTGCCGCGGCTCAGAATAGGTCGAAAAACACTGTCCTACAGAAACCACGAGGCTAGACAAGCACTGGACAACTAGTGGGCACCTTAACGATTTCCTTTATCACTCAAAACATGATGTGACTAAAATTTCCGTTTTGCCAACAATAAACCGATGCCGTCCACTTTTAAAAGTTGGTGTGGAGCCCTGCCACAATTATAAAAAAGTTTCGAAACATCCATAAGTAAATACAGAAAGGTAGCTGTACTCTGCTACACAGGGGTGACAGCTACAAGCAAATAAATGGCTGTATATATATATATATATACGAGATGAAAATAACGTAGCAAGCAGGTGCAGGGAAACTCCCTGGCAAATCTAGGAATTATGCAAATCCACTCCACACGTTAGAGCAGAAATGACTCCGCCTTCACCCTCAGTAGTACTCCACACACAGGGGTTCTGTTTGAACTACTTACCCTACTGACTCCTCGGCCCCTGTCCTCCCCATAATTTGTTCCCAGGATTTCAAAGAAGATGTTGGGGTTAGAGCCGTTGTTATTGAACTCCAGGAAACTGGTGAGGCCGCTCACTCCGAACTGTGGAGACAAGACAGAATGTTTTTATTTGACTGTGTATTTATTTTCACTGTTACTGTAGTAATTGTGTTCATCAGAGTCGTTACTTTCATCATGATCTTAATCACTATAATCATGTCAGTTCTCATCAATGGTGCAATATTCTTTTGGCTATAATAGACCTCATCAATAATTCTGCCTGGGAAATTTGATCATAAATTATGTTTTTTTATCCTTGCTAAAGTTCAGATATGAGAACTGTTCGGAGTGAAGCAGAGACATGAATCTTCTGCCTGTCTGTAATCAAATGATTACATCTCATGAGTAGGTAAATGTATAGAATAGGTAAATGTTCTGGTTGCTGTAATAAACTAAAATGTGTGAGATGTTGTATGTGTGTACGGGTGCATGCTATTTGCTTGTGGAAAATCCCACTTAAGATACGTTGCCAAATTGAGCAGTCGACATCACGCAGAGGTGTGTGTAATAAGCACCAGGCTGATGGAATAAAAGTGTGGTTGGACTTTGCACTGGAGGCGTGCAATCTTGTCTTATGTGGAGAGGTAGAAAATACTCACAAGCTTACACACACATAGAGAAACACACACAAACACACACACACACACACAGTGTCAGTCCCCAACCTTTGCTCTGCCTCCCCGCTATTGTGACCTGTCACGGAAAGTGAAACTGTGCCTCAGGGAAGGTGAGGTGTTATACTCCTTCATATGATTCATGCTCTGCGTGTGTGTATGTATGTGTGTGTGTGTGTGTAAAAATACAGGCAAAAATATACACTTGCATAGTGTGTTCATGTCAAATCACATGGACACTTGCATAGATAGCCAACACCACATATCTCATGTAATTCCACCTTTTCATTTTTTACTTTTAAACTTGCACCATAACCTTGTATGTGTAACACTTCCAAAATCATTATATTTATTCAGGAATATTTGTGTGGGTGCATCTCTGTGTTACGTCCCTAAACACGCATGTGGATGTATTTTTGTATGTGTACATTATGTGAGTATACATGAAGGGGGGGGGGGAGGGGTGCATCAGTATCTTCTTGATGAGTATAGAATATATGATACATAAATGATGTTAATGTGCCATTTGGTATATTAGTCTACATTGACATAGCACTATGTTTCATTATTTTCTTTCCCTGGGTCTATCACACACACAGAACCCCCCCCCCCCCCCCCCCCCCCCCCCCCCCAATAACGCATGTTTATATGCCTCCTTTAAACTGGGCAGGGGGCTCGGGTACTGTTCATGTTAATGTTAATGTTGGCAGCTCAGTATTGAAATTACATTCACAAATTGTCTTTCATTTAATTGCACCTGATTCAAAGAACATGCCACTGGGCTCATGAGGCTGAATACAAATTAGAGAAATAAATAAGGAAGAAGGTGTTTTTTGATGTTTCACAGTTTCTCAAAAATAAGATTAAAGTGGACAAGTCTGTTTGATAACAACAAGCAATAATGAATATAAAAGAGTTCCCCGCAGGGACAATAAAGTATATCTAATCTCATCCTGAGCTGGGACTTTGAATCAGCCTCATGGGCTCTGGCTGGAGATCTTGGCTTGTTTAAAAGTGATCAATAACGGGTATGTATGTATACCAGTGGTGGGCCGTCAGGGCCAGCAAAGCCTTCTCTGCTGGCCTTGACTTAATCACAAAGTTATAGCTATTTTATAATTTAATAATTTGTCATAAATACACCACATGTATTCTAATTATTTTTCCCATTAGCTTATTTTCTCATTGCATAGGTACTGTCTTCCTCTGTTGCTCTGCTTCCAGCACAGCTTGTTTTAAGGAGAGCTTTTATCCAATCAGATTTCGCCCCTATGCTGTCTCTAGGTAAGAAGAGAGGCCCGAGGCCTGCTGGAAACCCTTTGCAGTTTAAGTAAATGGGGACAATATTGTTGATTGTCATAGTCTTCAACCAATCAGATTTTTAGTTTGACATGTTGGGCACCATATATGGTTAATATTGTTCCCTCAGATGTGAATAATATTTGAATGGCCCGTGCTCTTCAGTGTGTGGTGGAATGCGTGTTTTAGCGTGCAGTTTTGCTGATTTGATTTTGACTATATGCATTGTCCGTTAATGATGCAGCACCCATCATGCGCGTATACATGTATCCGCACTCTGCAGTTACTGTATTTGTGGGAGTTAAGCTTCATTTTTACACGAAACAAATAGGGGTGTAACTGTTCACAAAGTTCTCCGTTCGGTTCAATACAATACAGTGGACGTCAGTTGTCAGAGCAGCAGCGGGTACTTCGGACATTTGATTCTCTGTTTGGGCTTTTGTTTTCTTTAACAAAGCAGGAATTATGGTCTGGGCCAAAATGGGCCGTGGTGATTGCTTTAGCCCTGTTTGAATCAGTAGGGAACAGCTAACTAAACGCTGCGGGGAGAGTTTGTAGCGTGTGCGCTGCTGTTGGTTTTCCTGCTAAGCTAGTTTAGTTGTTGTTGTTCTTCCGTGGTGGGAGTGTCAGACAGCACGTTGTCTGAGACGTCGGGTGGGTTGCCATGTTGAGCGCAGTGGCTCCACCGAGAGAACATCATATTTCCCACAATTTAAGCTTCTGCATTTTCCAAATGCAATAGTATTATTCAAACGTATTGTTTGATTCGTAATGCGTACCGAACCGTAAGCCTCGTACCGAACGGTTTAATACGAATACGTGTATTGTTACACCCCTAGAAAGAAATAATAACCTGTAGCTGTGGCGTCATAATGAGGTTATTAGGAGGTGGTTCAACTGTAGTAGGACAGCACTGAAGGCCCAGGTATAAAATACACGACCCGCCACTGATGTATACGTATGTATGTAGTCTACAAACAGCTCAAACACAGCACACACTTGAGACCTTGGGGATCAGTGTAAATGCAGTTTCACCTGCTGTATTTTCCACCTACTGAATTTGTCAATGAGCCCCCAACAACAACATCAATAGAGCTCCTCATCAACAGCTGCAAATTAGTATTGATCATTACCATAATGGCCCCAAATACCAAAACGCTGATTAAACACACAGGCACGCACAAGAGTGAGTAAAGCACACTGCTGATACAATGTAAAATGGAACTGATGCCAGGCTGCTGAACTTAACTCTATTACTGCTCAGGGCTCTTTAACACAGCTCTGTTGAGACAGCCATCGGGGTTGGTTTTTAACAGCCGGGGCTGCTGATGAAAGTGTTGCCAAACCCCAGCCTGATCTCAAGGTGAAATGCAGAGATAGATATGAAAGCCATTGCGTCGCAATTATTATTGTCTGACACTAATCCTAAATTTGCATTTCACTTGGCTTCATCATTCAGTCAAACTGCCATCCCTGGAGTAGTTTTTTATTGATATCAAAACAGAGGGCATTGATCCAATTGGATTTAACAGTGATGAAAGTGTTGCCAAAGCCTGAACTCAAGGTGAAATACAGAGATTCATAAAATCACAGCTCCGGGATGAAATCCTTTATCTTCCAAAAGTCAACTATTCAGGAACTGAGTAAAACTTGATTATTGATGCATGTGCTTCCTATAAGGTATGCGCTCATTTGAATTCATGAGCACCTGGGTCATGAAGTCTCTGGAGCTTAGACAGGAACTTGGAAACTTTCAGTTTATTGTGATACCAATACAAAAATGCTCGACTTATTGAAAGCCTCATTGTCCATCCCTGGAGGGGATTTTAGCTATACCAATGACAATGAATTTAAAAGTGACTGCAGCTTGATGTTTCAAGAGTGTCTCCAAAATACCATGTAATGAGCACAATGTCTTGAAATGCAAATACATGCACCCTGAATGATTTAATTTTTTGTATTAGGGGATGAGCATAAGCTTTTGCTCTTTCAACTGTAGTAATCAGGACTCAGCTGCAATGTTCTCTGTGGGTAAAGACTTTTTAGGCCATTTTCAAACTGGCACTCACTCACCTACAAGCATCACACAGCGGTAGAGGACCGCAGGAGGCTGATGAAACAGACAGACGGTCCACAAACTGAGGTTAGAGTCTGATTACTTTGGGTCATTGAGATATCAACGACCGATACAAATCAGGAAATGGTTTATACAACTATCAGTTGTATAGTGTAAATCAGATTGCACTGAACGCTTATACTGTGTCTTTTACTTTTTAAAATGACTCATTGTCGCATATTTCTGTACACAGTGTATGCTGGTTAAGCAATGTCTTGGTCTGATTACGTTTTTGTTTAAAAATGATATATAATGTTTCGCAACGCAGTATCTGAGCTATCTAAGTTGATTTTCGTCAATCTAAGGTTATTATGGAACATGATCGAGAGAGAGATTTCCCAGTGCTCCAGTCATTCATACATGTTCACTCCATGCCTGTGAATCTCTGTTCATGGTAAAATTGGGGCAGTTACTGGGTTTTAATACTGTCCACAACAATCTCCAGTTAAAGAAGGCTGACTATGTAGGGAAATATGTCACAGACAAAATGTTGACACATGAGCACAACCGTTACCTTTTCAGGATGTTTTCTAAGACTATTGCAACACTCAAGGGTGTATGTGTGTGTGTGTGTGTGCGTGTGTCTCCACATGTGTCCATGCACCCATGCAAAGTTATCCAGAACTCAGGAAGTATTCCTCTTGGAACAGGCCTTTACCTCTGTGCCAGCATGTGTGTGTGTGTGCGCGTGTGTGTGTGGGTTGTGCCTTCAGGTGTGTGTACCAGAGACACTAAGTATGCATTCTTGCATACATACTGAAGTTGAATGCCTTCCTACATGACTTGAGGGGAAAAGTGTGTGTGCTTCCTTCTGCATCGCCATACCTTTTTGACAGTATCCAGCATGCTCTTGCCTCCCTGCCACGGTTTGGAGTTCTTCCTGATGCAGTTCAGACTGGCCATGCTGTGCCACTTCCTATCCTCCAGCTTTCTGTGGAAGGTGTTGGCCAGCAGCAACACAGTGTCATAAATATAGCGATTGCTGATCTACAGAGGAATAAATGACAGAAGGCACACAAAAGAAAGAAAGTAAGACAATACGATAAATGCAGACATTTTACTTTTGCTGAAGATGCTTCATGGGGGAGTCTACTATGAGGTCCAAATGACCAATGTCATGCTAGCATGTGCTTCAGTTTAGTTTGTGTTTCTCCTTTGGTTATGCAGCTGGGAAAGATGGACTTCTGCAGATATTAGTAGTTTGAAATCGTCCTAACACCATTGAAAGATAAATGATTTACTTGCATTCATATCCTTCATCACTTTGATCAAAAAATATTGCATGTTCTCTATCTACCTGTCGGTATGTTTCCTGTACCTGTAGTGCATCATTTCACCTAAAAAACACAGCTCTCTTTCAGTGCAAATCTGCCCATTTGTGCTCACACCTACAAACACACACTCACATAGAAGAAAAGCTTTAAGGATGACATTAATTAAAATGTATTGACAGATTCTTGGCACCACGGAATAAGATGGAGAGGGGTGGGGGAGGATACGGAGTGGAGCTTATTCAGTGTGTGATCTATCGTTATGTGATTTACAGAGCCTCCTGTCTCTGTGTTGATGAGAAAATAACAAACGCATGATTCTATGCACGCACGCACACACACACAATTAGACATGGAGGTGATACGCATCAACTCACATTAAAGCTAGGGTTAATAATGTTGAGAAACTAGCAAGAGCACGCCAGATTTGAAAAAAAAATGATCAAACCCAGCCCAGTGTTGCCAACCCTTTTCCAATGAAAATAGCTAGCAGCACTCGCTCCAATAGTTGCTAAATCTAGCGAGAAAATCGCAAAGCTGCCAACACTGACAGCCTGTCCCTTCAGGACAAATTCTGTTGAATGTAATATCTCTCAATTGGAGTAAGGTCAAGATCAAAGTATGAAACACCCTGTTATGAACCCTAAAAGTCACTTTAGCCCTTGGTCAGTCAACTTTTTTTTTCATCCAGTGCAGGTTACAGGAAACGGTAATCTAGCATGCAGATGTGAAACAGTGTATAAAAGGCTAAAAACACATTTCAGTGTTGTCTGTACGGTCGCGAGATTAAATCCATGTAAACATAATTCACATTACAGTCATTTAGCCGACGCTTTTATCCAAAGCGACTTACATTTCAGGTTCTATCACACCGTAGGCACAGCTACGGGAGCAATTTTGGGGTTAAGTGTCTTGCTCAAGGACACATCGACATGCGACTAGCAGAGCCAGAGTCAGGGGTCGTACCACCGATCTTCTGATTGAAGGTCGGCCCTGCTATCCACTTACCCACTATTCTAATCAAGACATCGCCTTTTGCAAATAACTCCCAGCAACCATGGAACCAAAATGCAATACATCATAAATCAGCGGATACTATTAGCTCCCAGGGCTCTTTCTCCTTCAGGTTGTGTTGGTGTTCTCTTTGGACAAAAGCGGAAGTGGCAAGATGACTGGCTATTTCTATGTAAGAATACTTACATAGAAATAGCCATCTTGCTGATGGTCTCGCTGACTTATGTAGGTCATAAAGAGGCATCAGTATTAAATACAGACTGTTTCATAACCAGATCAAGGTTTCTTGTAGTAACTTTAAGAATTTAAAACTTTTTTGGACATTTTTAATAGAGATGTAGACTGAAATGTTTGAATTAAATTCCAGGCTAAAAGATTAATTCAGTGCACGTACAGCACACTCAACTCTGTCTGAGCAGTGTTTTGCTTGTTCAAGTCTATCACTCTGCTTCCAGCATGCTATTCTTAAAAGTGAGGGAACCAAGTGGGAACGTGGTCATGGCAAAGTTTTCCATTGTTTGAAGAATTTATATGAGAGATGATAAGATGACAAAATATATGCTCCTTGTTACTTGTCGAATAGTTAACTGGCAGACAGAAAACCCATATAGTGTCAAGTTGATCTTACATCTAACTTTTCTCTCACTTTTTTATTGAAGTATTCCTGCTCTCACAGTTTTGTCGTAGTCTTTTGCTTACTATCTTTGTCCATCTATCGTTCTGTCCCACTCTCTCTGTGTGCATATTGCGTTTTCTCTCGAAATTAAAGTGAAAATCTACTGCTCTATGGGGAACTTCAATGATCAGTGGGTTCTGCACTCCAAATGTGTGTGTGTGTGTGGTCAGCCTGAGTTGATGTGCTTCAGTGCAGTGTGAAATTGGGCTTCTGGGCCACTCTCTGACCGCTGAGCTGATCCGCTTCCTCTGTCTCTCTTTCTCTCCCATCCCTCGTTTCCTCTCCCTCTCAAATTTAAACGCCCACCCACCCACCCACCCACTCGCTCACCCACACGCTCACCCACACACACACACACACACAGGATGTCAAACTGAACATGTGTACAGGGTGTTTTCACTGTGCATGGACAATGTTTTTACTCTCGCTCTCAACAACACATCGTCCTTGACGGAAATGTGTTACACTCACGTGCACACACATAGGTGGATGCATGCACACTCTTGGTCCTCCACAGTAGGATGAACAAATACAGGACTCTACCAAAAACACACTTGAGAAGCACTTGATTCATATTAGGACACACAAGGCAAGCAATATTTACATGCATTATTCAATGCTTCAGGGCCTCCAGGAGTTAACAATGTCTTATCATGTATGGCAAGCCTCAAACCAAGTCTAGGCTTTAATCAACTTTCACTTTATGTATTAAGCTGTTTTTTCACCTTTCGGGCATTTTCTTTGTTTATTTTATTCCTTAAATGTGTTTTATTTGATTAAAAAAAACACATCAATTCATTGATTACAGTGGCAGAAAGCCTAGAACGGCGCTGTCTTTGGTTTGAAAGGGAGATAGCCACAACAACATTAAGGCTACGTTTCAGTTTTCAATGTTTTTCCAACTTTCATCAAATGCTTCCCCCAGGGCCTTATGCATCCACATAAATCAACAGCACATTAATTCAATTTCATATTTTTTTTTTTTGTCTTGACACATAAATACGATTGTGTTCCCTTTTCTCCGCTCTCTTTGATGGCAGCTTGATGACTCACATACACACAAAAAAAGGGGTAATAATGACATACATATTGCCACCCTGGGGGACGTGTTAGTGAAGTAAAGAAAATGTGAAACCGGAGGGGGAAAAAAAAACCTGTCATCGTGTTTGTCAGATAGTGTGGTCTGAGTGAAACACATATACGAGTGTGAGCCAGATTTTTCAAAAATGATTATTGTTCCAGGTAAAAAAAACACATTAACAATGTCAAATCAGCAAGCCCCGTGTACTGGGAAGCTTTTTGGAACAGGAGACATGTCAAACAACAACACAGGGAGCAGTTTTAGAAAGACAACATGGAGTTCCAGAGCGGCGTTTAAATACATTACTTGTTTGACTTTTGAAATATTTAGCAGAACCCAGTGAGCAGTGTGTAAACAAACATTTGAGAGTATTTCAGGAGATGTGTGCATGTACTGTACAGCATGTAACTCAGAGACATATGTATTACACACACACTGAGCCACAATTAAGTGTTGTCTTTTTTGTCACTGAATGTCAAGGTTTTGTGTCGCATGATTCAACACCAATTCGGCTAATGCATGTTACAGGATAGGATGGAGCAATCAGCTCGGGCTCATATAAAGATTGTTTAGTCACTGCATCCAAATGAGCCTCCAAAATGGCTGACAGTCAGTTCTGAAACCATGAAAATGATAATAAATTGTTTGGATATTTTCCTAACTATATGATGGATTTGTGCTTGTTTGTGTAAGTGATACCACCAAAAAAATCAAGCTCTATTTTGTTCTCCTTAAGTCTATTACACTGTGCTATGCTGACTACAGCACTGCTTTTTATTGGGGGCAAAGTTGCCCAATAATGCAGTTGGCGATCAATTGACTGTATCCCCGCTGGACAGCCCTCTCCACTTTGAGGAGAAGAAAAGACTCCCTACTGCAGCTGTGGCTATTTGGCGATCATTGATTTTAATGACTGAAGCTTTTATTGTAACATGTGAGCAGCGTTCCAGCTCACTGTATACACATTCACAGCCAACCTTTTAGTGACATATTTAAAGTGAATTAGAATGCTGACACACTAGAATAGTTAAGTAAACATTTTTGGAGCAAGGTCATCTGCAGAGACAGACAATGTGAACTGGACCATACGTGGATCTGAGATACAGAGAGTGAAAGACATTTGTTGTTTTTTTCCAGAGCATCATGCAAATATTTCAACTCAGCTTTCTTCAACCATACTTCTAGCATAGCCTACTTTTCAAAAATAACATCTTATTAGCTGCTAAATACACACATAATAGACACAAAGCATGAAACCAGTATGCTTATTTGATTTGTTGAAAATCACTGACCTGCCTTACAGACAAAGCAACAAACCAAACCAACTCACCTCCAACTGATGAGACTTGGGGTTTTTAGGGTCACACAGGGAAGTGTTAATCCTGTGGTTGTGTTTGACACAGCGCTGAGTTGTGTTCTGGGGCATGGGGAACGTCTGGCGCACCACCGTCAACCGACCGATCGACTTCATGACTAACTCCTGCAAGTCGTAGTCTGAGATCTCCTGAGAGGGTGGAAAGAGGAGGAGGAGGGTGGAGGTGGGGATCGGAGGGGGGATGATGAGGGTTCAGAAAAGGAGCGAGAGGGGGAAGAGAAAAATCAATATCAACAACTCCATCACGTCACTAGTTGTTGCAGGAGACCTACAGCCAACATTTTTCACAAGAAATATACAAAAAACAGTAACAACAAAAAAAATAACTTGCTTAGACACCACTCCATAAAAGTCCCTGTAAAATGAGATGCTTCTAACCCGTCCTCATAACACATATTTCAAGTGGTTTAGGTGTTGTTTTATATGCTCTACTTTTCCCATTATCACCACACTGAGCCGAGAAAAACCATCGTCAACGTCGTCTGCGAAAAAAGATGTGAAAGAGGGGAGTAAAAGCATGTGTTTGTGTGTGCGTGTTGTGTGCATGCATGTGTGTTTGCACGTACTCTGCATGTCCTTGCGAAACCTTGGGGGAGGAATCATTGCTAATTTTAGCCCTAGGACACAATCTCTCTCCCTCCCCTCCATCCACGGATCTCCATTCATCCTCAGCGAGTGCACGGGGTCATGTGGTGACACGATGAGAGCTGACGTTTATCGTCCCTGGTGGAGGTAACGCTGCCACCAACCGAGACAGCCTGTGCAGTCTTTGTGTATGTGTGCGGTGAGTTATCTGTGTTTGTGTGTGCTCGAGCGCGTCTTGCGTGCACGAGCCAGTTTATGTGTAAAATCTGTGTGTATGTGTGCATATGTTTTCAGGGGATCCCTCTGATTACGCCGAACCCTTTTGATTCCCTTTCATTTGCGCATGGCAGCCTGCTTGACAAAAATAAGCCATCACACACACACACACACACACACTTTATAGTAGTGAGAGGTAATGTTATAGGTACCACCGGTTCATTGACTAATCTCAATGGATTTCATTTGAATGTAATTAACGTTCATTAAGGCTAGTGAGTCCTCATGGGATGTGATCAATGGTGATTAGAGGTGGTATTATACAGGCTTCATTGGTATAGCTGCACTCATTTGCATTAATTATGCTGAAATATGGCTCTCGCTCTGTAGGCAAACATATGCATTTATTACTGAAATCGTATTGATGCCGTTTCAAATATTTGGAATTATGTGAGATTTGAGACTCAAAGGAGCCCGCTGACACTTTTTTGCCTCTGCTGTCAAATTTAATGACATGTTCTTGAAATACAGTGAGTAAACCGAAGGTTCTGAATCTACAATGGATTTTAATTATTAAAAAAAAAGATAAAAGCAGAAGAAAGGGGGTATTTATGCCTTGAAGAAGAACAGAAATAATGTAACAGGTTAACCGTGTAGCCTTGAGCTCTGAAGTATGCACTTTCTCAACAGTTCAAGTAAGGGGTGTATTTGCTGGCTTTTGGGGGTAAGACGTGGCAAAAATCCCAAACAGTTGCTTACATAAAACCCTGAAGGGAACTGCATTACAAAGCCAACAAAAAACGATGCAGGACAGAGAGAAAATGCTGAAAATTGCTAAAAAGGCAGATCTGTGGGCCAAAAGAGAATTAAGATTCATAGCGGGCACTCAAGGGCATGCAAAGAAACATCAGCCAGCAAGAATTATCCAGAGTGCCCCATTCAAAGGACCAAACTCAAACAAACATAGATGCACAGGAAAATACACACACACACACACACACGCTGAAACCTTAAAGGAAAAGATCATTATGAGATTCGTCCTCTCAACGGGCGTTTGTGCATCTTTCTTCCTTTGTCACGTTCTGTTTGCCTCTTCGTCTCTGTCTCTCTGGGGACGAACTTAACAGACTTCACCCAGTGTGACTTCCAGTGGTGGCGTGCTCTCAAAGCTGTTAGCCTTTTAACGGCTGAGCGTAAATAAATGTGACATGCATACGTACACACGCGTACTGACATGACCACACATATCGAATCACATGTGCCACAGCTACATCAACACACACACACACACAGATTTACTGACGCAGAGCTGACACTCATCTCCTATTATAAGACTGCTCTATTTTCATGTTTCATTTCTCCCATAACTCCCTTTAGCCACTTACTGTCAACCGTTCATGGGCTTCCTCAATCACAATATTAAAATGAGATCAAAAATATGTAACATGTGAACTCTCTGGTTTAGTTTGGTGTGGTGCAAGTAAACCTAAACCAAATAATTTTATTTTACCAAGCATGGAATAATTACGGCTGATTGACTTATTTACTGGTTGAGAAAATCCATCACGAACACAAATCATATCTGCCTAGTTTTCATATTCAGTTGAGCAAAGGTAGCATTAATTATTATTATTACTCTCATCAATCAAAAGCCCTTTCCAGCTGAACAATCGGTTACAACATCATTGAGTCCTGAGGATGCTTTAGTGGCCCCCTATTCTGTGCACCAAGTCCAACTACATGTAACCAGAAACTGTGGGTAAGTTGTAACCCCCAAAACGCCCCGCGGCTCATATATAGAGTGACTCATGAGTTGTTTACTCCATAAACTTGGAGTTTTGGTCTGCAGGCACCCCCATCAACCTCAACCCATCACCCCTCTCTCTCCTTCTCTAGTTCCCTGAGGGCACCAAATCCTCGTCTTTAGTGTTTTACTTGAAGATGAGAGTCAAAAGCAAAAACACATCCCTCATCCTCAATTGTTCTCGGCACTTCTTCTCTGACCCCTGTACTTTGTTCTCTGCCCTTTCTCCCCTCAACCCCTCCCTCTCTATACGTCTCCCCTGGAGACACCAAATAATTCCCTATCTCTTTTTACTGTATCTGCAAAAAAAAGATGGTTTTCTTTATTCTTCAACCCTTTCTGCTCCTCCTACTCCTCATTTCACCCTTGCAGCTCCTACCTGTTCTCCCCTTTGCTCTGAGAACACCAAATCCCTTTGTTTTGCGCATATCAAAAGGTTCAAAGTTGTGAAAAACAAACAAATCTGGAAAAATCATTTTGTTTCATTTGGCCTCTTCTCTCTCCTCAACTTCTGGCAAGTTTCCACAACAGCCCCTAAATGTCTTCTTTGTCACCATTTCTTCCCCACATTCAGCCAATAGACGTGGCACTCTCCCTCCCCCGTTCTGTTGCATTCACTTCACAACGAATGGTTGACGGTTCAACAGTTATGGTGGAGGGAGACTCAGACAGACTATAAACTACCTTTAGCTATAGGTTACTTTGTGCGATGGTGTTTCTAGATTAATATAACATAAACTATGGTAATCTTAGGATATGGCTAGCTAGTTTTAGGTTATGCTTAGCTTGGCACCTAAGCAGTGATTCAGTGCAGAGTATATGCAGGTATACACCGACTTATTTTGCAGTCGGCCACCCACTTCTTAATCCCCTCTGATGCTCATCTTCCTTATACATTGTTTGAGGGAACTATAACGTCACGAACGCTGATGTATCTCCTCGGGGATTGAAGCAATTTTGGTTTTAATTAAAATGGGGATTTGTAATTTCATGGGTTATTGTTGTTCGGACGATTATGTGCTAATGTCAGCTTTCACTTGTTGCCATGATAAATATTCACGTATTCTGCAGCCTGTTGGAGACACCAGTGCCAGTGAGACGAGGCAGAGGAAGCTTCCTTTTGTCGCTGAGTACTTGGGGTTGGTACCGGACTGAAGCTGGCTGCTTACCATTATCTGTTTTCTCAACTTCTAAGACTCTTGATCCCTGACGACACAGAGATACCACGTGATCCCAACATCGTTGTACCATTGGCTCAAACAGAATAGTTTTATTCCATAAGACCTTTAATGAGGGGCAATCCTTAACATGACTGCATGCAGTGAGACAGTACATTATAGTGGAGATGGATGACTATGTAGAAAACACTAAATAAATCTTCGGCATGTCAAATCTCTGACAAAGCTGTGATCAAAAAGTTTTTGATTCAGATCCCTAGACCATGCAGGGACATCTGGATAGGAGTAGTGTCACACTTGCCTTTAACAAGACACACACAATATCCAACAGCTGCTGGAGAGCCGCTGAGCAACGACAGTCTTAGATGGCTGCAGTCATACTGGGCAACTTCCAGCTGTGCACAGAGTGTGCACGACTGTTAACTCGTTCTCCCCCTGCAAGCATTGTAGCTGTAAATAAGAATGTTCTTTAACTTAGCAGCTAAATGCAGCCTATAACTACGTTTATTTTGTATCTTCAGCATGTTTCCAAGAGCAATGAATGACCAGCGTATATTTGTGGAGTTGGTACAGTGGGTTTTGGTCGGGTTTCATTAACCAAAAGGTTTGAAGATTGTTCTAAGACCGTATAATCCTTCAATCATATTCAAGGCATGAAAATCCCCCGAAATTTCAGTTACATGGCTTTGCATATCATGCACTGATATGTTAAGAGCCAAAATGACAGAAAAGCCTAATCTTGTCTCATCTCATTACCATGCGCTTGGTCCTTTGAGAGACAAAAAAAGGCAGAAATGACTGAAGAGAATGAGAATAATGAAGAAAATAAAGAGTGTGAACGGCAATAGAAATGATCAAGAATTATATTATGAGAGAAAATGGCAAGACCATGAAGAGCTTCAGAAGGGGTGAGGTCAATAGTGGAGGTATCCGCCAAAACTTAAGAGAAAGACAGAGAAACGAGAAGCCATGAGCGTCCCTTATTATTTCTGCTCCTCCTCATCCTCATCCCCTCGGCCTGAGCAGAACGGAGGAGATAGGGGGAGGAAGGATGATCAATTATGAACTGTGAACTCCCCCTCAGTGGGGCTGTCCGACTGCTGGCTGTAGATAAAGCAGAGTTATGACAACCATACAGTACCCCCTCATTCATAATAAACCACAGGGAGGGAGAGCACTTTTAGAATATTCATTCTCCAAAGAACCAGTATTAGAGAACTTTACGTAAAGCAAAATATTGTAGCCGCTCATCCATTTTAAACACTCTACTGCGAGACTTCACATAGCCCATGGTGGGAATATTGTGCTACATCAGAACAGTCTGTGACTAAAGTTAAGTCTTGATAAGCAGAATTACGACATTGTAAAGTCCAAAATAGGGGAATAAAGCTTTTCTTTAAATTATTTGAGGGCAATTTTTGATTTTAGATGGAAAGATGCAAATGGAGGAGATACAGGCAAAGGATAAGACGGAGTCCCATTAAAAGTGGGGTTTTTTGGTATATAGTGAAAGGAAGCGTCACGGTCTGGTTTACATGCTACAGCTGCACACTCAACTGTGTTTTCTGTCAACACTTTCACTATGCTAATGCAACTCTCACTCTCTGTACTGACAATCCGTTCTACCCTGGAGGGATTCAGGTTTCTTTGCCGGTGTTGTGTCGAAGACTGTTTCCTCTGTCTGTGTGTGTCTGATTATGCGTATTAGGCAGCGATTGGCTTTCAAATTTCTCACGTACCAAATCAAGCTTGCCCGATATACTTTTGAATAAGATTAAGATAAGTGCACAGACATCTCACCCTTCAGTGGAGGAATGTGAAAACACTTCTTCAGAGACAAACTTTGCATGGATACAAGTCAGTATATTCAAGGTCAGACATTTTAAGGAAAACACATTTTTGAGTGAAGGGGATCTCTCTGTTCCACCATCTCTCTCTTGTCCTTCCTTCACATTTGCACATCTGTTGTGTCTTCTGCCTCCATCTCCCTTTTCCTATTTTGGCAAAAGACTGTTCAAAAATATTATGGTAAAAGCAGTTGGGCTGAATATCAGTGACTAGCTATCTAATTTTGTCTGGCTAAATTGGTATTGTTTTTTTTTTTGCATGTTTGCATGAACAGCTCAACCAGCTATCACACATATCCTATATCTCTACTTAGCAACTTAGACAGCATTTGATGCATATATATATGTTGGGTAATGAAATGTGGGTGGAGGTATCTGAACACCAACCGCAATGTCCACATTTTCAGAAAGTGCCATAGCATGTATGCAGACAGCATGAGCAGAGAGATGTAAGAGAAATGAGCCTTCTGTCCTATGACCCAATCTGGTCTCCTCTCATCGTACTCACTTTACTGACTCGGGTCTCGCTGTATTTGAAATGACATCTTAAACTGTGGCGTGACATTCGGTTGAGAAGCAGGAGAGCATGAGACAGAGCCTGACAGCATCATGCCAAAAGCATGAGAGTTGTCAACTCTTTGATGTAAAGGGACTGAAGTATTTTATGTGTCAGAATGGTGGGACATTTTTGACTGTAAGTGTTATACTCATTGATTTCACATAATAACATTAACACTACCAGCTTCTACTGGTCCCACAGATATTTTTGTTCCCTAATTAGAAGTGGTGAGTTGCGAACAACTCTCTTTTTGCAATGAGACGACTACAAGTGATAACCAGACTGTATCACATGATAGCCACAAGTCATACATACTGTTTTAAAGGAGTTAGGGGTACTAAGAGTTCTGTTTTTGTCAGCTTATATCTTTACAGGGAGATTGAGAGAGTCCTCTTCCTCGGAGACTGCAATGTTGGACCGCTATGTTTCTACAGTAGCCCACAGTGGACAAACCAAACACTGGCTCTAATGAGGGCCCTTCACATCTTTACCTGAAGATCACCTTAGTTCTCCAACAGACTTGGAAAGGGTCTCATTTGACTTATTAAAGAAAGAAGCAGACTTGGTGCTAATCACAACTGCTGGCATTTTATACTTATATATACTGTATATATATATATTTGTTTATTATCTATAACTGTAATAACAGTAAGGAAATATATTTCAGTGATATTCTGCCATTGCTTAAACATACAAACTGATGGAGCATCGGCCTGCCAGACTGCATTTCACCGTCGACTTCTCAAAGGCAGCAGGTACAAAGTGTTACAGGCGGCCTGCTGCTAGACTATACACTCAGGCTGCGGAATGACATGTTAGACCTCCCAGAAAGCTAAGCAAAGAGCCGGTTGCTGCCAGGAGGCCTGAAGAGTGTTAGACAATACCAGATGCTTGACAGGATGCGAAGCAGTCTATTAGACAGCTACGTAAATGTGACTTTATCCTACCAGGCAGTCGAGTAATGATAGACAACTCTGCCAGGAGAGTGTAAGACCACAATCGTTTTTCTTTTTTTTTTTTAAGTGAGCAGAAAATCTCTGCATATTACAGTAAGCCATTTATTTAAATTAGTGGAGGAGACACATTTAAATGGCATAATAGTCCTTGTATGAAGCCAGTAAGTAATGCAGAGTGGTTGTTTTGAACAGATTTATCCACATTTTTTACCTCTGAGGAGCCTGCCATCTACATTAAAGTGCAGAGGCGGGTCTCGTTCTTTCCCCTCACTCTCTGGATGCATTAGCATTTAACGAAATGCAAAAAAAACCACAATACCGGGAGGTTGTCTGAGTTACTTGCGGGGATTGTGACAATGTTGCTGCAGCCTCTCATCCATATCAAATAGCACAAAATAAAAACCTTCATGTCTAACACTCGAAAAGTGAACATCAGAAAATAATGATTGGCTCTCCCTGCAGCTTTAATGGATGTCATGCATGCTAACATTGGTTTCAAACAGAAATACTTCCTTTGCATAACTGAGCAAGTAGTAGGACTGCTGAGCCTTGCAGCACGCGTTAGCATTACAGGCTATGACTTGAAAATGGAACAGGGAGCGAGAGAAACTACAGTACACTTGAGGATCTGAGGATCTTTTCTTGTTTTGTACCAAGCAAGGTTTGCCATTGCCCCTCCAGTAAATGTTTTTTTTTGCATGTGTACATGGTTGTGTTTGCACACTTGCTCTTGTGTGTGTATGAATGTGAGGCAGCATGGAGCCCCTGCTGTGTCCTGCCAGTTCACTGTAATGCCCAAGGCTACCAAGACACAGTGCATTAGTAGCAGGATCAGCTACACAAATATAGCTGATCCTGCTGGTTTTGTAAAAGGCACTTCACATAACACAAGATCAAAGATGAGTTCCTATTCAAAACGAATATAAAAGTGGAGCCAATATAAAAGTTTAATTATTTTTTCTCTTATGACCAATAGTCACCGTGATCGGTGATTGACAACATGGGCAAAATGAAAGTCTTCGAGGCACTTTGTGGACTGTCAGATCTTGTCTGCTCTCGTTAATCCAGAAAGGCCTTAATATTTAAGTAGCAATACTGATTTTGAACCGGGATATATGCTCATCCGAAGGAGTTCTTCCAAGGTCACTTTTGTCATCTCTGACAATTTAGTGCTTGTATACAGAGGCTCTATCTGGTGAGCATTAAAACAAGTATAAAATCTTTACTGTATTGTTTTTGCCAGGGGACACAGCAGCTGAAGCTCACTATAATAAACCAAACTGTCCTCGGTCATCAAGTTTTGTGTGTTTTGTGTGTTACTGAACCAAAAGAAGTCAGCAACTTTATAAACTCTACTCTCTCCTTTAAACACCTAAAACAATGCAGAGATTAGAGTGGCTCTGGATCTAAAACCATAAATATTCCTTGGATAATTGAAACAATAAGGAGAACTGAAGGCACACCAGGTACAGGATCCATAAATCATTGCCTCGACACTCACCTCATTAATCAGGATCCAGTGACAATCGAAGGCCACCAGGTTGGTCTCCACCACCTGCAACACAACAAAACACACAATCACATTTAGAATTCAGAGAAAAAAGAGATGTCATTGATTTGATAGAAATAAGGGAAAAGAGTTAGGAGACAACAGTTCGTTTTTTATGTTATAAAGAAGGAGAACTTCCTTAATGTTGCCTTTAAAGATGTTTTCTTGCTCGGATAATGTAATTCATGGAAACTGAAGTGTGAATATTATGGAAATGTACAAGGCTGAACCCCAGTGTGAAGCTTGAGCATAAGTGATCATTCTCTCTGACAAGCAAGATGGCGAGGCCTTTTCCTATAACCAACAAATATACACATCATGAGAACAGCTGCTTCTTGAACTACTACAACGGGAAGGTCCCTCTCTAGCGCAGCCCGGAGGTGATCACGTTTCCTTAATCAGTGCTTTTGCATTTAGTTTTGCTCTCTCTGCCCAAATGGGCAGGACCATCAAAACTGAACACAAGCTACACAACATTTAGAAAGTAGAACATGGCTGATGGATAGCTAAAGGTAACATTGGTAAAACACATAAATGGTTTAAGAACCTAAAAAAGTAGGGAAGCAGTTTTAGTGGAGCTCACCGGTTCTCTTTCTCGGCTAACTCAAACCAAATAGTACATTTATTGATTAGTCATTTATTATCCACTCTTTCTGTTCTCGTCTAACGTCTCTATCTTGCCACTCATCTTTTACCCACCTATCTCTTTACAAGTGTATTTCAAGGTGTATCACTCCATCTGTATCATTTACTTTTGAACATGAGGGTTTAACCTTGGTTTCCACAGAAACACTCATATTTGCTCGCTGCCAATCCCACTCAACCCTTCATCTGCGCTCTCCCCCCTTTAATTGCTCACTTCTCTCTCTGACTGCCACCGCTCCTTTCCTCCACCCCCCTCCCTTTCCTCTTAGTGTAAAAAATACAGTGCCACTCGTATATCATTTGCTGTAATTGTTTAGGTGACTATAGCGCCGTGTGTCATAAAACACTTTTTAGCCGTAAACAAACGGCAACAGCTGGAGAGAGCTGACGGAGCGTGGCTAATAGTGGTTTAATCTCCCACAGAGTCTTCATAAAGCTTCATCATTGTATCCTCAGCGGCTGCCGTGAAACACTTTGTCAACAGGAAACATGGCTGCGACACACAGACAAGGAGTAAGGCAGGGAGGGGAATGATGGAGAGGGATACAAAACTAGATTTTGGCCCTAATTCGTCTTTTCTGACAGCATCTTTGTTCGTCTCTACTCTTACCTACTCCCTCAGACTTTATTGGGGAACATAGCTGAAAACAAAACAACGAGAAGCACTAGAATACTGGCGCTTATTCATCTTTTCTTGTCCTCTCATGTTGTTTCTGTCTCTATCTACTGGAGCATTGCACAAACACAAACAACAAGCAGTGAAGGAGGGAGATAGGAATTAGAGAGAAGAAAGGACAGAGGTTTGGCAAGCTGTTTTTTCTGTTCTCCACTTCTCTGCCTGTTTGCCCTGTTCCCTTCCCTTGGCGCTCATTAAGGTTCTAGATGATATTTACACAAGATTATGAAGAAAACTAACTTCCTAAACATGGAAAATGCACAAAATGTCTGCCTGCGCCTTAATTTGTGACAGCGTTTGTCTATGTAAAGCAATGTAAATATGTGTATTATGAGGTTTTTCTCATGCATGCAACTGTCGGTGAGTGTTTCCACTTCTCCCATTATAACCTCCCTCTGGCAGACGTCTGGGCAGATGTTTCAAGCTAATTAGCGAAAGGGCAGACTCCTAACACTAGACGTGACTCCTTAGGGGTTGGAACCGTTCAATACACTCACTCACTCCCTCTCTCTCTGTCTCTCTCTCAGGCACACAAGCACAAATCTAACATCTTAAACTACCTTGTTTGTGTGCGTGTGCATGCGTATTTGTCCACACAAGCTCAACAAACTGCCACAGCCCTTTTAACAACTCAATGCCAACATGGCAGGTAGCAGTCACTCACTTGGGTGTCGTTCCCTTAATGCTGCCACAGATATCCTTCTGACGTCTATGACCAGCTCGACAAAAGCTTTGTTTATGCTCAGTTCTCACTTTTTGAAGTCAGAAGATCAAACAAACACCAGCTCTGCGGTCTGGGACGAATCAAATCACTCAGTGTCAATGTAATGAAGCCTTTTCTCAAAGTCTGAAAGCAGATATGAGAGGAATAAGACTTTTCTGCAACATTGTAACACCGTGCACCCCCACGTCTCGTATGGGTTTTATGGAGTAGCAGTGGTACCGCCAAACAGCATTTTGATCTTGTAATGACCTCCATCTGCATGTCACTCCTGAAGGAGTCCAACAAAGAGAAAATCATTGATTCTGGCAAACGGCTGCTGTTGGCTGACATTCAGAGTCAAGGTTTGCTGCCCATGCCGAGGCCTGACTTGACAGGAGCAGGGTCCATTCAACAATATTGTGCACACACATTGCATTCTCACACACATACATAAGTATACAAACCACAACACTCTTTAGACAATCAAATGCTTAATGTCATACAGGTATATACACTGGGTAGTATACAGTGTATCCATGCTTGTGTTTCTGTGTGAGAGATGGTAATAAATATTAATGCAAAAGCAGATTATTGCATAAGTACATTGTGGGGGAAGCTTGAAGAGGGAGAGTGGGCGTTGCTATTGAATAAAGTGCTCTAAATTGAAAATTAGTTGTGCAATTTAATTTCATGCACTATTTGTGATCAAATCAAGCAAACAGCCTACAGCCCAAGCTCTGAACTAGGAATATCCAAGCTTCACCCTTAAACATGCGAGCCCAAGTTGTGAAAGCACAGACACGCACACACAAAAGTTACACGAAGACAAACATCTAAAAGCACAGATCCATTTCTACCACTCCATTCCCTCACTGTCCACTAACGCAGTATTCGCCACAGAAAAGTCATTTTATTTGCTGTGTTATACGGTTATGCATCCATTTACGCGGTGAAAAAATGATGCTTTTGGATTACTATAGTTAAATAGTGTTTCTCTGACTACATATGTGCGTGGGGGGGGGGCATAGAAAGCGGGCATAGATGAGCGACCAATGGAGAGACGGAGAGAGAGGAGATGCTGGAAAAAAAAGAAGAGGGACTAGAAGTTTCTTGTGATACTATAACTCCCAGAAAAGTAACCCATGTTCTGATGTCTTTCTTCATTAGGTTTCCTATTGCTGCAACACTTTAAAATAAGGTACATGAACTGTCGGGCTACAAAGGAACGAGGAACCACTTCTTTGCCTATTTAAAGGCTATAGGCAACTTCATACTGTTCAGTTTTCTATGTTCCCACTTAAAAACTCAATTTTATCAATCAATGAACTATGACACCTCTTTGCACCTTCCTCTTTCATTCCAGTCTCTCCTACCTAATCACAGACTCTTTCCCTGTGTCTAACTTGCATGTCTCAGAACACTTTAAAACATTACCACTACTAAAAATAAGGAGAGGAGATGGAATTTTTGCAAAGGAAATTGAGCTGTAAGTGCATGCTAACTGATGCATCTTCTCCCCCATACATCAAAACAGCTGCTACTCCCACAGCGTGCCTTATGCATGTTTGAATGGGTGACTTCATATCAAGTGTGTGTGTGTGTGTGTGTGTAGAGAGGTGATGTCAAGCAGAGGGCGGCGCATTATGACACTGTTCTGCTCTTTTGATTTCCATACTTGGCAGAGGAGCACTGAGCGTTGATTGATGGCATGCAAACAGGCAAATACAAATACACACACGCACAAGCAAGCACTCCACTGGCATGCATTCTGTTAGCACATTAGCTGCTAAACTCAAGCCTTGTGTTTGTTCTTCTGCTGCCATGCTGTAAGAATAATCAAATACACCCTGCACTCTACACACATCCCCATAAATAATCATGGCAATATATGAGATGCTACCTGCATGTCATGTAGACATAACTCACCCAACACGCATGTACGTACACGTCTGGGATGTGACAGCTGTGTCTGAGGCAGGGACTTGTCATGTTAGACACTGTCTTTGGACAATAACATTGTGTAGTATGACTTGTTACTGCAGAACATGGCTTGAGTGCATAAAGTGCCAACACTGAAAGCCAAGTGGAGCGACAAGCCCAAAACATTTTCCCCGCCGGCGGACACAGAGCAAATACACACAGCCAACAACAAACGGTAAATATTGTGTTTCATTTTTAAGGCATCTGTGTCTTGTCTATGGTTTAAGTTCACAATAATTCAGAATACTTTTGGTTGTAAAAGTGGAACTAAACCTCTTGTCTTCAAAAACACTAAAAATGTAAGAAAATTGAAAGGTTCAGGGATCCTTAAGTAAGGGATTAACGTAATATAATACAGTTGGGCCACTGAGACATAAAAGGTAAGCAGTCATGGTAGTCTAGAGTAATGGCATAACATTAAATGAAAGTGTTCAGCGACTGAGTTGGACAAATGGCATATGAGTAATAAAACCATTAAAACACCGTCAAAATGTGCACACAAATGTTTAAATCCATAATAAATAGTAGACGCCACACTTATGGTACATTTCTGCCATCTGCAGAGGGCTATATATTTACCTTTGAGAGTCACATTCTACAATGTTTTGTTGTATCTCACGGCCTGGAACTAAACTTTCAGAGATTGTCACACTCCAAAATAAAATGAACTAGAATTACCGCCTTGCAGTTGTATGTCTCCGCCAACTAGGCAAGTTGCATTTTACATCCATGTAACAAAAACGTCATCAATTCATCTTTGTGCGAAATTGTCATTCTGCCCAAAAAAACGATTTTACAGGTCAGAGTAACTTTTAACCACCAAATTCTGATCAGCTCACCCTTGACTCGAGGTTGACGTTTGTGTGTAATTTGACAAAGGTGTACCTGAGATATTGCGTTGACGAGAATGATTACGCTGAAAACCTAATGCCTCGGCACAAGAAGTTCACCGATGAAATAGCAATGTACTGCAGATCACATCTCCAGCCTCTAGTCATCGTG